AAACAAGAACCCTTCTTGCACACCTTTAGATTCCTCTTAGATAGCCTCTTCGTTTGACACCTCACTATTGAAAATCGGGTGAACAGTGTAAATATTACAAATTTTTAGACAGGTGGAAACCCTATTCAAAAAAATTAAAACTTATTTAAACTCTAGAGGCCAAGGCCTTTCATTTGTCACCTCATTTTTCAAAATCATGGGAAGGATGTAAATATGATACTTTTGTAGACAGGCGGAAACTCTATTCAAAAAATAAATCTTTATTGTACCTCTTCAGGCCCAGCCCTTTCATTTGACATCTAATTTTTTTTAATACAACGAATCGTGCAGATTTTATAATTTTTAAACAGTGGCAATCCTATTCAAAAAATAAAAACTTATCATATCTAGAGGCCAAGACCTTTCATTTGACACCTCATTTTTGAAAATCGAATGAACGGTACAAATCTTACGCTATTAACAAAATTGCCTTCGCATAGAATAGTATCTCTAGCCACACCAACTTTCCGCGAATGTTTGACGTAGCATTTACATTCACTTATGAACGAGAACGATAGCAGTTAACGTTCGCGAAGGCATCGATGGCACTTCCCCGCAAACATATTCTGAGCGTTCAGAATATATGAGTCCGAAAGGAGTCCTAGGCGGGTAAGAAATATGAGTTTCAAAAACAAAAAAAAATGTTCTCTTATATAAATCTTTTAGGAATCATATATGATCCAAATTATGGCCAGCACCTTGTGCCAATATAAAAACAATAAAGATTGGAAATTTATATCTAAACTTGTTTACACAGAAATTTAAAATAATTAGAAAACAATAACTGAACAAATTTTAGCTGCAGCTGTTGCTATTAAATGCATGTATACGCACGTAAATATGTATGTATCAGGGATGAAAAAGTAGGTACAATTGTACCTTTTTCCGACGTTTGATGACTTAAAGGTACATTAGGTACAGCCACTAGATTTTAGGTACAATCATCTTTTGATCAGATGCATTTTTAGTTTTTTTTTTTTTTCCTTAACCGTTCATTTTGAGGAATAAACAATTTTAAAGAAAAGTGGTCAAAAGGAAGAAATTAAAAAAGTCATATTATGTATTATCTTAAACATTTTACATTGCATTTAGAGCAGCCACTACAAAAATTAACACTTTGCTTAGCTATCCTCAAATTCGTATTTTTTTCTATTAATTTTAACGGTTATTTTCACTAAGTCAAATTCAATGGCATTGGCGGTCAAATGAGTGAAAACAAATTGTCAAATGGGACTAAAAGATAATCTTTTGATTGATTTAGATCAGAATAGGCTTTCAGGCGTGTACATCCGCTGCTAAAGCGGCTATTTGTAAGTTTTTGGCCCATAATATCATCGATAAAGGTAGGGATAAAGGAAAGAAAGTTGTGTCAAAATATGGCGACAAATTTTGTTGTCAAAATATGACATAATGAAAACCAGCCTTTATTCACACACACAGTTCAGTGTCTAGGATGTCTTCAAATTTCATATTTTCTTTAGATGAGAACTATAGCTATTTGACCCATATTCGCTTTTTGATTTCTGGAAATATATTTAAAATGCTTTCGAAGTTACTTCCTGCAATTTGATTATTTTCTCTAGACTTGCTGCACCTATCGAAAGGAATCGGATAAATAAGCAGACTTTTCCTGTTGTTTTATAAAAAGCTGGATAAAGAAGTATACTTCGCAAAGTGTGTTTTTTGTCTTTTTCGCCAATATTTTTCAGTAGCCAAAATTAGACAAAAACATCGCTTCTCCGATTCCCATTAGATTACATGTAGTCCATAGATATAGCCTCAGTTAAAAAAAAAGCATCCATCTTTTGTATACATGTTTTAAAAAACATTTATAAAAAAAAAAACTACAAATGAATGATGTAACTTTTTTAGGTAAATCTGTCTCATTTAGGTACATTTATTTTATGATATTAGGTACAATCTCAAATTTCCATTTTTCAACCCTGGTACGTATGTTATTTGAAAGAAATTTTTGGTGAATGCCTTTGCAAATATAGTGCGTTCAATAAGACTCAAAGAACAACCTAAAATAAGAGTCCGAACGTAGTAATTCTTGAGGCCGATAAGAGTCTCAAAAAGAGTCTGAAATGATTCATATATGAGGCCAAAAGTTGTTTCAAAAGAGTCCAAAATGAGGCCAATAAGAGTCAAATATGACTCATATTGAGGCTCATTTGATGTATGAGTTAAAGCTCATATAAGTCGACCTTCGGAGGAAGGGAAGCAACATCATATCGGACTCTTAAATGAGCTCATTATGAGCGTAAATGCTCCGAAATAGGACTCCTTAACGACTCATTTATGACTTCAGATGTTTGCTGGGTTATAGCTACATATACATATGAACGGACGCTGTTTGGTCTACCAATACATACGCGTACGAACAACAGCGAAAATTTTTTCAACATAACGATCTGGACTTGTTTTATGCTTCTCGTTCGCGAAGGAGAATCAATAGNCGACTCATTTATGACTTCAGATGTTTGCTGGGTTATAGCTACATATACATATGAACGGACGCTGTTTGGTCTACCAATACATACGCGTACGAACAACAGCGAAAATTTTTTCAACATAACGATCTGGACTTGTTTTATGCTTCTCGTTCGCGAAGGAGAATCAATAGAGAATATTTGATACGTTCACGTTCGCGTATAAAATCATAAATGTATGTACGCGAATATTTCCGAACCCTGGTTTTTTCTAAAATGTGTACATATGTGCAAGGCATATTAAACAAGGTAGAAGTAATTTTGACATTTCTCTCTTTTGAACACCGACTATAATGTCAAATGATGAATAACTTTTAACCCTTTTCAGGTTGGCATTTTCTAATTTTCATTAAAAATTCAATTGTGCTTTGAGATAGTTTTGAATTGTGCGATTTTTTTTTAGTTTTTCGACCACATGCATTTATAGATACATACATATACAAAAATGAAAAGGAGCAGGAGCGTTGCATTGTGTGGAAAGTGGTGCGATACTTTAAGGCGCCTAGTTGCGAAGTTAGAAGACTTGGTTGCCTGAAGCCACGGAATTTCAGAACTGAGTAAGAGAATTTTGTTACAATACTATGCACACATAACCGCGTCTGGACCTAGATTTACACTTATATACATACGTATGTAGTAGAAAACATTAAATCGTTTTTTATAAGTGGGGATGTTTTTTAGAAGTAACTATTTAACTAAACGCGCAAAAACATTGGGTGAATAGAAACAAAAAAATGTTTAAAACAGTTTCATAAAACATTTATTTCATTTAATGACGTGGTTGCCTTTATGAGGTATTCTTTTTCGTCCATATATATATGTGCATATAAGATGCGAATGCAACTAAAATTCTTTGAAGGTAATATTGGAGTAATCCTAAAAATTAGAATACGTACATACATATGTATGTATTTATGCTGATGCATTTCCATGGTGAAATTATAAGCAGGTGAAGTAATAAAAAAGCTTTCTCTCTTTATTTTCCTGACATGCGGCTATCTTATACAAATTTTTAAAGGCAAATTTTCAAATAANTAGAAGTGACCGAGCTTAATCTTGAGCAGTTAAGTTTGACCTCCAAGCAACAAACTGTTTGGAGGGGAAACTTAACGAAGTTTTATATTCAAGCGGTAAACTAATATATGTACATGCTAACGGCTTAGCATTAATCAGGCTATTTATGTATATGTGCATCCGTTGCACATTTATGCAATTTTACATTAGGGTGGTTCACCCTTTTAAGTATTTGGTTTAGCATGGAGGCCTAAACAGACATTATAACTAGCTACAAGAGAGTTCGAGCTAGTTGTCACTTCTACCTTGTTAAATATGCCTTGCATATGTATGTATAATATAATTTAAGACGCTGGCCCAATGCAGGCTTGCTTTGCGCGCCTTGCTGACTTCAATTTGCTTTGATTTACTTTGAAAACTTGCTTGGCCGAATGGTGGCTTGGAACGCTGTCAAAGTAACCAGCTGTCTGGTTGAAAAGTCAATGTCTGTTCCCTTAACGTTAATAATTATTTCCTAGAAAACTCTAAAAAATGTATCAAAAACTTTCAGATTTATTTTTAAATTAATGCGAAATAATGTTTGTATTTAAAATAAATGATAATAATGATACATACATATCAATATCTACATTTATTAAACAAAAACTATAACTTAAAAAAGCGATTTACTTGAAGAAAAGAGCTATAAAAGTTTTTTCTCTCGAGTAAAATTTGTAAATGTGGGCTTTGCATCGTTTTACTATAAGATATGTTAAATATAAATATAGAAACAATGAATCATTTTTATTTAATTTCGAATTACCTGCATTTTCTGTGAATTTTTTAAATTAAGTAAGCAATTTTTTGTTTGAATTTATGTATTTTGAAAGAACATACCTCCTTGTCAAAATCCTACAAAACGCTTTCAAATAAAACATTTGCTTATTTCAAACTTTGAGGCGCTTAAAGCAAGTGAAGAAAAGCTGCCATTTGGCCAGCTTTTATACATTTTAGTATATTCCAAATAATTTTTGACACTTCTCGCAGCGAAGCAAGCAAAGCAAGCCTGCATTGGGCCAGCACCTTTAAGGGCCATTCACATACAACTTTCCTCGCTTTGCTTGACAGTTCAAACTTTGACAACAAAGCGTGAAACGCAGAAGGTATGCTACAATAAACGTTTTGACAGCTTTTGAGTTCTCCTTTTCTTCCATATTTTTTATCTCTAAAATAGATTGCAATATAATAATATGCATTAATAATAGCAATAAAAATCCCTATTTACCCTATTTTTATGTAAGCATACTCATGCATATGCCTACATCGATCTTATATGTCAAAGCAAAGAACTATCAAGCAAAGCGAAGAAAGTTGTATGTGAATCAGCCTTTAGAATTCCCTTAAATTTCATAATAATACCTGACAATTTTTATTAAAATTTTAAATTTATTTATTTTTTTTTTTATATTGTAACAGCAACATGGATCCTTATATTGGTCACGACATGGAGTTAAAACATTGAGGAATTTGAATTCGGATAAATTTCTTCACGTTCAAATAGATGATTCCGCTTTTACGGTGAATCGTACGCCGATTTGGATGGATGGCTCAACAGAGAAGCAGTGCGTAGAAATGGAAACTGCAATCGGTGGTCGGGCAGAGATGCTTAATATTTCAGGTTCAAAGTGTTATGCTCGATTTACTGGCCCACAAATACGTAAAATTTACCAAGAACGTTCCAATGCCTACGAAGAAACGCAACGAATTTCTCTGGTTAGCAGTTTCTGTGCCTCTGTTTTTCTTGGTGATATTGCGCCTATAGACTACGGTGATGCATCAGGCATGAATCTTTTTGATATCAAAGCAAAAATTTGGTCTAAACAATGTCTAAACGCATGTGCTCCTGACCTAGAAGATAGATTAGGCAAACCTGTTCCCACTAGCGCCATAATTGGTAAAATTTGTAATTTTTTTGTAGAACGGTTCGGATTTTCTCCTGAATGTATAGTGACTGCTTTTACTGGCGACAACCTATCAGCGTTGTCTGGAATGGTGCTTGAGCAGAACTGTTTAGTAATGTCTTTGGGGACAAGTGACACATTAATAATGAATTTAAAAGAGCAGCCACGTTTAGAAGAAGGCCATGTGCTATGCCATCCCACCGAAATAGGCCACTTTGTGGGACTGATGTGGTAAGTTAATTTATTAATTCATTTAACTAACTTATTTATTTCTATTATAGCCATGGTTATAACCAGGGACCCAAAATAATCGTTATCATGAAGGATTTTTATTTAAAAATCATTGCATAATCGTTATTTTTTTATTTATATAATTACGATCATTTTTAATCGTTATTTTATGATTTTTATTTTTATCATATTTTCAGGGTTAATCTTGTCTTATCCTAGAAAACCAAAAAAAAAAGAGTGTAGTGTTGACAATTAAAGCAACAAACGTAGACCTAAGATAACCTCAAGAACCACAAAATAAAAGTTCAGCAGGAAAATGAAAACAAAAATTCTTTGATTCATTGCAGGTGATTGTATTGTTCAGACATGGGCACTTTTTTGCCCGCGCAGTCGCGAAAGTGCGAGCGCGGGCTGGAGAAAGGGAAAAACAGTTTACGGGAGGAAGGGTATGAAAAGTTCCGAAAAAGTTATTTATATCCCACCAACATCATGTTCATCGCAGTACGGCTGCGGTCAAGAATGATAGAATACAAAATTGCGCCGATTGCAGCAGAATTCGTGAGAGTAATTTAAGCGTGACGTCACCGTAGAGTTGACAACTGAGAGCGGCAAATAAAACTGCTGTCTAGTGATCTGCTGAATTGTCGGTACCCAATACTTAAAACGGCCTCGGTACCCAATACTTCCTTATCGGTACCCGATACTGATTCTTTACATTAAACCTTCGCCATTATACGCATTTCAAGTTTAGAAAAAACTTTCATTACTAGTTTATATGATATCGGCTAAAACACTTGAACTTATCGCAACAGAGAAATATTATTTTATCAGTTTTAACCCTAGTCGATCCAAGGTTCAAGAAAAACACTTTGACGGATGAAGAAGGCTTTCAGTGGGGGCGAGATTCTGTAACCAGTTAGCGACAAGTTTCGNTGCGGTAATACTGACTTTGTGCACGGTGGAGAGAATACAGAGGTGGCGCCGATGACGATACCGCTACTCGGCTCTCAGTGATTTTGACAGAATCAGCTGTTCTGGTGACGTCACAGTAGAGAAGACTGCAGTAGTGATGTGCTGAGTCAATACTTTTAAGTACCCAATACTCTCGATACTCGGTACCGAAGCATTTACGTTTCGAATAAAAGCGCACATAGGCCAAAAATATGAAAAAAACGCCTAACCAAACCCGAATGTAAGAGCCAATAGAGCTTTTTTACTGATTTAAATGAAAGATGTATATATGTCGGTTCGATGCCATAATACAGAGAAACCCTTACTTGTTTGAAGCATTTTTGTTCCAGCTGAATCGGACGATATCATTTTTGTAGGCCTGGGACAGATTCTGTAACCAGTTAACGACAATTTTCGAATCGGTATCGGTTTTGTCGACGTTTGATATCAAATATTTGTAAGTCAACAAGTGCGATATCGATCCGAAACTTGTCGCTAACTGGCTACAGAATCTCTCCCCTGAAAAATTTTTAAGATGTGGGTAATTGAAAGCTTTTTTCCCCATTTTCGTGGGATTTTTTAGTGTCTGGCATCACTTTTGGCATGTGATGCTTAAGGCTCCGTTATGCATACTTGGCATGGCTTGAGAGCTGTCACATAAGAAATCTGTTAAATGAGCCTCGCGTGTAATCGGTTATCGAACGCACAGCACTACATACGTAGAAGTCTGTTGGTTTTTGATTTCTACGTAAAAATGGTATAGCAGTGCATGCAATGCCAAGTATGCATAACAGAGCCTTTACGCTCTTTAAGCAGGCGCTCACTCTCAGTCCATGCTTGTATATGAGCAAATTTGACATCGATATAACTGTTGCCAACTTTGTGCCTTTCGCAAGAAATTAAGTGCGTTTAGGGAATTAAAAGGCGAAAATTGTTTAGTTTAGTGCTTGTTTTGTTCTTTGGTGCCCTTTTCAAGGCAATTTTATAATAAAAACGTGATTCTATGCTGACATTGTATTTGACTTACACATATGTTAGTATTTGGCCGAGCTTCTCCTCTGGATAATATGCTCCAAGATAATCCAAACGCAATATTTTCACACAGTCTCTATCACGGAATCCATAGAATATTCTGCTAATTAGCTGGGTGTGCGCATTTGTACAAAAGTTAAGCAATTGCATGAAAATAAAGCCTCTAGAAAAACCAAGTTTTGGAAATTGTTTTACGAATAAAAAAACATTTTGCAAATTAAATTTATTTATTATTTTATTAGTTGGA